TGTAGGTTTCTTTGGTCTCGTTGGCTAGCCAGAATTATTTGAAAGGGGTGACCAAACATGCTCATTAATGTTTGCTTCATCCTAAGCAGCCTTTTCAACTCACGGAAATAAAGTACAATTCCGCCCTCTGTAGCAACAATCGTAACTATATATGTCTTTGTACATGAATCCCATTTCAAAGCATATATCTTTATCATTGTATTTCGTTCTAGCTCAGTCAGTAGTTTTAAACAAGGCGACGCTAAATCAATTCTAAATCGCTCTAGCATAGGCCTTACGAAGAATTCCGTCGAGACACAGTAGACGACTTATAAGTGGTGGGAACGACTAACTAACAAATAAATTCAAGCATGTCCCCTTCTAGGCTCCCTAAGGAAGTCATATTTTCCCTTAAGTGGTCCAAGTTAAAAGTAAAATGAAGATAATCTTAACTGGCACTACTAGCAAAGGGATTCAGACACATCTACAAGGGCACAGCATGTATTGGAGTCCCTATGAACGTTATCCAAATAAATTAATCACATGAAATATATATATATATATATATATATATAGGGTTTAAGGCTATATTGGGTAATGATTCTACCTGTAAAGAAAGTTCTATCGACTGGACGGCATTCTGCTTCCTCCAACGCAATGCTTAATAAGACCATCTGGTTCTCATTGTCTGTTGTGGAGCTCCATTCCTTCAGTTCTTTTAACATATCCTGCTGGCTGATGCTTGTCACACTTCCTGGCGTTTCTGGATTGTGTGCTGCTCGCCCTGGAATCAGCCTATTAAGGAACTTATTCTTGAGTTGTTGATCACCAATGCTCCGCATGATCTTTTCACATATGTATTCAGATACCTTTGAAGACATGTTCGCTCTTTGTTCTGGTAAAAGTGGAAATAATGCAATAATAATCGGTGATTATGATAAGGATATTAATATCAGGTTCTTGTATAGCGCTCACGTGTGTTAGATTCCTAGCGCTCCATATACAGTGTGTCTCATAAATAAATACGTAACTCTGAAAACAAACGGTGATTGTGAAAACAGTATGAGTTGTAAACAAAACAAATCTTGGTTTTCTTGAAACAGACAGACCATGATTCCAAGTGAAAATATTGCCTATTCTGAAAGGATAATTACATTTTAGAATCGTTTAGTTTCTGCCTTATGTTCGCATTGGACAAAACTTATTCCCCATTACAAAAATGTGAGGTGCCCCCTATTTTGATCATTGTGGAAATACCACGGGGCTCTTATCTTCGCTCTCTTAAACAGTAGCAGTTCTTACGAATTCTAAAATCACTGTTCCTGTCTATTGCAGACCATGTTGAGTACAATATACCCTTTTACTTTCACCATCGACAATATCCCCATTATCCCTTACTGCATGCGGATGGCAAAAATATTGCCCTCCTTAGTAAAAGAAACATATGTAAACAATCTTTTGATTCATTCATTCCGTTTTAAAGATAATGTTTACTACATGTCACGCTCTGTCATTATTCGGTGAAAAGCACCTCGTGAAACAATAATGTATAAACGCCCATTTCGGCTGCTTTGGTTAGTAGCCCAATTCAAAGAAAATCATTAATATTTCATGAATACTGCCATAGGATATTTACCACTCATATCCCAAACTCTCTCAAGCTTGGCTTTCTCTAATGAATCCCTAAGTATCATGGTTTGATGTTCCCTGGCAGTATTGTCCTTCCAGCTGCAGAACAATGTGTATGCCCGCTGTTTGCTGAGGTCTCCTTCGACATCGATGCCTAGTTCCTGGAACGTACAACGAATCCCCGCTATATCCAAACATGTACTATCCGTGTTGTACAGCAGGCACCAGATCTCGTAGAATGACAAAGTACCTGCACGACGAAGATGATAAAGATTTCTTTGTCAACTATCCCATTTCTAAAAAAAAAAAAAAAAAAAAAAAAAATTACGATCAAATATATGTTCCATTCCTCAATATTTCTATAACAAAACATCGCTTTATTTCTTAACAAAGTACATTTCGTATAATTATACATGAATAAGAAACGAAGTGTTGGTTGTCATCTTAAGAGACGTGATCATTTTTGATGGCATTCAATAAATTGTTTTGTTACAACGCTTTTCATGTCAAGTATTTTCACATCATACCATCATACGTTTACACTCGATAAGTTCTTACGTGTAAAGAATGTCCTATCGACTGGACAACATCCTGCGTCTTCCAAAGCAATGCTTAATAAGACCATCTGGTTCTCATTGTCTGTTGTGGAGCTCCATTCCTTCAGTTCTTTTAACATATCCTGCTGGCTTATGCTCTCTACACTTGTCGCTGGTTCGGGATTGCTTGCTGCTCGTCCTGGAATCAGCTTGTTCATGAACTTATTCCTTAGTTCTTGATCATCAATGCTCCTCAATATCCTTTCCAGGGTGCCTTCAGATGCTTTTGCAATCATCTTTGACCTTCGTTCTGAAAGGAAATAATTCAGGATTCATGCAAAAAACACTAATTAGTAGTGCTTCGATTGTTAAACATAATTATGCACAGTTAATAGCTCGATACAATTTCAAATTCTTCTAGGTTCAGTTCACTCCGGATGAACTTGGCCAAAGTAATATATCACATAAAGCAAAAAGATAACATGGAATGTAATGAACTTTAGATATATAATAACCATTGATTACTAGAATGAGATACGAAATCACAAAGTTTATTTTGTTTAACTTTCCTTTACACGGTACTATAGATTGGGTGGACGAGAACGGCGTGAACGTCCACTGATCGTGCGAGTCCTTAACATAGGGGAAACAATCGCCGTGCGCGGGCTCGCTCTCAAAGGGTTAATTGGCAAGCCGTTTTAACATTTATTCATATTTCTGGATTTGGATTCTTGATATCAAGAAATTATTTTTTGTTGTAAAGCAATTGTAATGCTTGATATCAGGAATTGAATTGTTGATATCACGAATTAGGATTAAATGCTATAACGGCTTGCCATAGACAAGCATGATCAGTGGACGTTCATGCCGTTCTCGATCCGTTCTAAAAGTCCCTAACGATAAATGAAGAGGACTATGACTACCAGAAAAATATTGTGTTGTACCTGTTCGTGAAACATACAATTTTAAGAATACTAACCTATTATTTTCCAGGCCTCTTCATATCTGGCTTTACAAAAAGCATCTCTGATGAGCTTTGCTTGATCGCCTAAGGTAGTCCGGTCTTTCCATTTACAGAGAGCGCTGTAAGTCTGCCATTTTGTTGAATTTTCCTTGACATCTTCTATTCCCAGTTCAGTTAGCGCACTGCGTATTCCAACCTTATCAATACCATTGGTGTTGTAAAGTAGCACCCAAATCTCGTAAAAGGACACGTTCCCTGTGAGTTTTGCAATAGAGCAAAAACATGCGACGAAATAAATTGAACTTGACAAATGTTTTCTCACTCTTGTTCTCATTGAAACAATGCAACCATTAAATCAATATCCCTTCCACAACAACTTCAGTACTACCCTATTGCAAAACTTGAAACAATACCGTGCTACCAAGGAAGTTCCATCGTAATTTTACAAACATTGGAAGTTGTAAATATAAACAATATAAATGATAAGCTTACTACACTATATGAAATAGGTGTAAATCTTGTACAGTACCGTTTTCTGGCTCTTTTTTCAGCATAGGAATCGACCCAGGGTCTGTGTCTGTGTCTGGAGGTTCGACTAATCATGTAATGCAATAATAAATAAAGCAACTGGTTTTAATACACGACTGGCAAAGATGTAACTGAGTGAATTAACTAATACATTGCGTATGAAGTACCTTATAGGTCCCAAAACAAGGATCTTTTAAAGTTTCCCCCGGGAATCATTGTCTTACCATAAACACGTATTAGTTTGTTTTCATTTATATTACTGAATGCTTAAGGATAACTGACATAGTGCAGTACCATTTTCCGAAGGGTCAAAGGAGTCTGCATATTCATAATCATTGTCGAAAATGTTTTTTCATTGTGACTCCTTTTCTTGTGACAGATGATGATTTACATATGTCTTTCAAAAATGTTCAGACATATATTTGCCCATGTTATATTAATTTATTCTTGTTAGCAGACTTGTCGGAAATGTTTGTCCAACATCCCTACGCCCGGTTTAAGTTTACAAAAGGCAATCCTGAGCATCCTACTCAATTCATAGGCTGAGGAATTGTACACTTGTCTTGTACACTTGTATAAGTTAACGAGGTGCTCCGAAGATTGAATATCAAATAATAATTAACCGAGAAAATTGAGGAATAGAATTAAGGTGGAACGTGACAAGATGGTCAGCCCAGAATAGTTTACTATTCATCTCATGTCCACGATGCCTTTACACTTCCTCATCTCAGCCGTCCTTCGGTCACTCTCTTCCTGACTATTTTATCCCGTGATGTGTCCTAATAAAATACATAATACCTAGATTCACGATTACCAACTATGCGACTAGTTAAGCAAGTGATTGTAATTACCATTGGTATTCCGATGCTTTTTCCAAACTACGAAAGCAAGAAGAAAGCCAGTCAGTAATATCATCACAATAGGTAGAACTGTTAGAGAAATAGAGTAAAGTTATGACGAGGATTTTCTAACTTGTTTTTAAACCATACATATATAACATTAACGAGACTTGTTAAACCTAAATAGTATGCCCCACATTGTTGTTATAAGCACAAATGAGTTTTGTTTGAATGTTTTACTCGTAGTATTTCGCAATTCTTAGTAGAAAAAAAAAGCGAAGAAATAATATATATTAATAGTTTTTAATCACAACTACTTTTAGCATTATAAATTTTGAAATTCGATGACACATAATGGACATTTTTAAAAATTGTACTCGTCATAATTGTTTCTATGTTAATATACTGATAAAATAATAAAAACATTAAACATTTAATTTACACAATTATTTATGGTAATTACCCCATACTGTATTAAATTAAATGTATTAGACGATGCATTTTGTTATAAGTGGAAATATTTGTTTAAGCATTACCGATTTTGGTGGTTCTTTTCCCAGGAGTTATTTCCATGGTTCCAGGAGTTATTTCCATGCTTCTAGGAGTTAGTTCCATGGTGTCAGGAGTTTTTTCCATGGTCCCCGCATTCGTTGAAGATGGAGCGGGGAATCCTTCATTGCCTCTGGTTGGTGAAATCATAGGTGAGTTTACCATTATCGTCGCAGCTCTCTGGTCTTTCGATCCAGGAATATCTGACGCAACACAGATGTATGGTGTATTACTGGCTGAAGCTTTTATGGATATTGATTTGTTTTTCGTCCCATCATGATTCGTCAATTCAGTACTTCCAATGTCCTTCATCTTTTGAGACCCATGTAGAAAGAACAAGTCTAGGTCAGGATAGAAGCTAGTAGCCAAGCAGGTGATTGTGATGGACTCACTTGCTGAAATACTGCAAATCTGGGAAGAGTCGTTGGCACATTGTTTAATGATTGGGTAGGGTTCTTCTGGGATAGCTGCAATAAAAGCATAATGGCGCTTAAAAGGTTATTTTTTTTTTTCTCTTTAACCTCAATCAGAGGAACTTTATTATTCAAATTGACATTCCTTTTTGTTTCTTTTCCTTCAAATAAACAAATTCAACTCATATACAATCATAAACAAATAAAATATTGCAACGTCCCATTAGTTTGTTCATGAGTACATCTGTTTTCGTTGTCTACAGCATCTCAATTAATTTCTGTACCATATTGTTATTTTCTCTTTTAATACTTTTACAGTTCAAATAAAATGTCAACTCATATTTAAGACTACGATATAGAGTTCTCGCATGTGTTCTATTAAATGATTGTAAATTCTTTATGTGGTTTCTATATATTACATACTCAGCAAAATTTATTATTAAATTTACTAAATGACAAATTGAGTTTTCAACTTCATAACCAAGTATTAAAATCTGTTCAGTCATCTGAATATTTAGACCACATAAATTGAAGATTACACCTGAAACAATTCTCCAAAACAATCTTACGTTTTCACACTCCAACATCATATGCTTAGTGGTTTCTAGCGTATTACATATCTCACATGTATTATAATCTAAGATCTTCCATTTGCATAAATTGTATCGTGATGGTAAAATCATATGCAAAAGTTTAAAGTTAAATTCTCTAATTTTATTATTCCGTACAACATGAAATTTAAACTGTAGAACAGATGACCAATTAAAATCCGCATGTAAGTGTAGTCGTTGTTGCCATGCGTTTAAAATATATGGTTTTTTCTTATTTTTTTGCACAATCAGTGAATATATTATTTTCGTATTAAGTTTTGACAAATCTATCATATCCCCTGTCGAGATCTCAATGGTCTGTAAATCAATTACTTCATCACGTTCTACATCTTGTGATTTACGCAACCATACCAAGGGGAAAGCCTTTTTTAACATAGCAAACTTAAAAGCAAATAACATTTTGGGTAACCCATATCTTTGGGCAGTTTCGTCAGAGTTTTTCCATCGACCGTCATTAAGAACATGGTGTACTCTTTTTATTCCTCCTCTCTCCCACACCTTAAAATGAAGCATTCGGTTCCTTATTTTAATATTACTATTATTCCATAGTATCGTTCTCATTATGTTATTCGTCCCCTCAATATTTACATATTTTAGTTCAGACCATGTACAAAGCAAATCAAAGTAAAAATATGGCAAATTTGCTGTTTTACATAATTTTTCCATGTCTTTCTTGTGACAGTTAAATTCTAAACTTAAGGGTATTCCCCCAACCTTGTCAATCCAATAGGAAAACAATGTTTTCCATGAGGTATTTTGACAGTTCAAATATTTCATTATCCATGAAAGACGCAATGCACTAACTCTAGCTTCCAGATCAATCATTCCCAACCCCCCACTTGTAACATCATTAATACAAATATTTCTTCTTATTTTTTCTGTTTTTGAGCGCCACAAAAAGGAGTATAATAACTTATTAATTCTTTTGATGGCATCTTTGGGTGCTGGAACAGCAGTAGCCACATATACTATTTGTGATGCAGCTAGCATCTTTATAACTGTGATTTTCCCGTAGTACGTCAGATGACGCATTTTCCACAAATCTAAAATTCTTTTAATCTTGTCAATTTTTCCTTCCCAATTTAGTGTTTCTACTTCTTTTATATTCATCCCTACATAAATCCCAAGAAATTTAAATGGATCGTTTGAAAAAGCCAATCCTTCAATTTCATTTGCATCGCATCTTTGTGAAAGCTGCATTATTTTCGATTTATCCCAATTCACCAAAATACCAGCATATCTGCCAATTTTTTTTATTTCGTCCATTGCATGTCTCACTGACGCAAGTGAACTGAGTGTCATTACCGTGTCGTCTGCATATTGTGCAATTTTAATTTCTGTTTCAAGTCCTTCATGATTTTTATCTAGAACTTGTATACCTTTAATATCTTTATTTTGATTCACCTTTAACGCTAAGATTTCTGCAGTAATAATAAATAACAATGCTGATAGTGGGCATCCTTGCCTTACACCTTTCTCAATTGTGAAATTTTCTGAGAGCCATCCATAATTCATAACACTACCACATGCATTGTGATATAGTGTGCGAATCCATTTTATATATGTATCTTTGAACCCAAATATTTCCAACGTTTTAAAAAGAAAAGAATGATTAACATTGTCAAAAGCTTGTTTGAAATCGATAAACATAATAATACCCGGAACATGTTCTGACTCACAATAGTCTATTATATCTTGTATAAGACGTACGTTTTCAGTAGCTGACCTTCCTTTCATAAAACCCGACTGATCGACCGATACTATAGAATTTATCACACGCTTCAGTCTATGTGACAAGGCACGAGCAGCGATTTTGTAATCGACATTGAGTAATGATATTGGCCGCCAGTTGCCAAGGCGCGTCTTAGGACCTTTTTTATACATAAGAGTAAGAACAGATTGTTTTTGTGACCATGACAACTCCCCATTACAAAATCCCGTATTCAGACTTTCCAACACCAGGTCTTTTATCTCTGACCAGAAACATTTATAGAATTCCACTGTTAGGCCATCACTGCCTGGCGATTTATTATTATTCATGCCTTTTAATGAGTTCCAACATTCTGCTTCAGTAAGTAAACCTTCGCAGCTGTCTGCTTCTTCTTCGCACAATGAATGAATATCTATGTTTGTAAACACGTCGTGAGAGCTATATTGATGATCATCGATTGAATACAAATTCGTATAATAACTATGTATGTGCTTTAAAATATTATCTTTCTGAATTTTCCCATTAACTTCTAAAGAGTCTATTTCTTTTTTCTGGCCCCTTCTCTTTTCGAGTTGCAAGAAATATCTATTTGATTTTTCACCCTTTTCTAACCATTTCTCCCTTGAACGTACAAAAGCACCTCTACATTGATATGTATACCATTTGTCAATATTATTTTTTAGTTTCTTCATTCTATCGTTATCCTCTACAGTTAGGTTACATTCATTTTCACATAGATCTCTTAATTCTTTTTCTAAATTAACAATGTAACATTTTTTCTTTTTATTCACATCTATTGCATATTTCATACTAAATTCCTTTATCTTTATTTTACAAAGTTCCCATTTTTGTTGCAAATCTAAGTGTCTATATTCAAGTTTTAGTTTTCGAATAACATCTGTGACATTTGTTCTATATGTCTCGTCCTCAAGCAGAGAGCTAAAAGGTTATGTTTCTTCCTTGCTGTAACATATTTCTAAACTCAACCTAATTTATCTTACTTTAAGCAATTATTACAATACTGGTATTGTATTTCCTACATAACCTATGTTCCCTCTCAATCGCAATTAATTACCGATTCTCTGGAACAAACACATACAAATTTAAACAAAGTAAGACAGTATAGTTCAAAGATTGATAGAAAAAAGAATCATCCCCTCAAAGACATGAGTCACATTTGATCTTGTGTATAAACGATTCATCGATACTGTCTCTTTTTTCTTAACAAGCTTTTGATTCAGATGATGTTTGAAGGTTTGCATGGTGGTATGAATAATCACGGAAGAGGTTTACGGTACACCATGTGTAAAGTCCTCGAGGGACTGAGGAAAGTGGATAGAAAATAGAAGTGAGATGGAAAGGCGAGAAAGTGGATGCTTTTGATTGCTTTGTATGATTCCGGCAATTTTTGAAAATCACAATAATAACTTTCCATTGACTTTTCCAAGTGTTGGTTTACAGTGGAAAATTAATGAATTGCTTTCGTATGTTTTGAACTATACTACTACTGTAACAGTTTCTATTTGTCTTATTTCAGTTAGTAAATTTCTTACCTTCTTCCTTATCCACTATTACATATTCATTTATATATTTGCATTCTTCATTTACATATTCATTTCCCCAGCTCATGTTCCCTTTTCATTCACCTTCTTATAGCACAGTTTTCCAGTTGCACTACTGCCACACCCTATTTACCTTCCTCATCTTCCAACCCGTTCCCTTTGTTGTATTCTCATTCTCTATGCATGATTGCCTTTTCCTGCACTGGTAAAATGCACTTTCTCTTCTCTCATTCGTTCTGTTCGCCTTTCACCTTTGATCTTTCTAGCCTGTTCACCTCATTGGTTTCTCTTATCACATGGCTTTCCCCTGATTGGTTTATTTTGTTATGATGCCTGATTTGTACTTAGAGACATGTCATAACTTTGGATATTTAAGTAAGTTCTGTTCCGTTCTACAACGAGTGAGGTTGTCAATATCTACTGTCCTGAGTTTACTTGAGTTTAGAGAGAGATTAGATGGATTTTGATGCAGCATATTTGATGATTGATTTGGGTGAGCTATAATTTCCATCGGTTAAGTAAACACGTTACACTACTACTACTACTACTACTACTACTACTACTACTACTACTACTACTACTACTCATAATGATAATGAGTATTTATACAGCGCCAATTATATTTCGTAAACATGCTCTGGGCGAGGGAAGTCGAATTAATACAGTTCATACATGAATATACACATTTGTTGTCACTACTTTTATTTTCCTTATTTGAAAATTACAGAGAGGGTTTTGGGGGCCATAACCGATGATAGTTACTAATTATAACTACATTTTTATTGAGCATAATATCAATCTCAGAGGATGCGCTACGCATCTTTATTACCCGGTCCATAACATATATTTAAACATCCTAAGTAGTATGCTCAGATAATTGTTTCCGAATCTGAGGTTCATCGATTGTATTATAATACGACAAGTTATTACAATGTATAAGCAACTTATTTTATATAAAATATAAGAGTATCTACTTACTCTTACTCAAAATCCTTAGCCCCCAATATGTATATAGAACACACTAGCGATGAGCTCTTTAGAATACCCGAAACACATGTTGGTTACGAAAAGAAAGTACCTCCCCCCCCCCCCCCTCCCCCAATAAAAAAGAAAGGAAAAATGACCTGCCCAAAGGTAAAAGAGCAAATAAGATATGCTAACTCTCTTACAATGAACAGTGGGGAGATGGGTGGGGGTAAACATGGACTGTGTCGGGATTACTTACAAAATAACCTGATGTCTGTAAAGTTATGAATCAGTATCCCCCTGTAGCTCGAAACTCTGCAGATGTATCGACCTTCTTCTGCTATGCTGACTTCCTTGATAGCCAACGAACGATCTTCGTTCATCTCCATGACTTGACAAGGCCTTTCACCTTCACATAATCCTGTCACATCATCGGTAGGAATCCATGAAACGAGGTTTGGTGCTGTTCTTGGGTCATCTCCTTTCTTCCAGTAGACAGCTAAAGGTGTCCCTCGAAACTGACATGTCAGGACAACACTGTCTCCAATTCGTACAGTTTTGTGTAAATCAGTGTACACGACATCATCTGGTATATCGCCAGAAACGCCTGTATCAAGAAAACAATGGTTTCCATAGGTATTTGACAAAATCATATTAATGACAGATGAATCTCACTGTATTAAAGCCTTGTCCAGATATGAAGCGGTAAACCGCATTTTTTTTTAATTATTACAACGAAACTGTATATAAAGCGCTTCATATTTTTTGCATTTTATACCAGTAAGATAAGCGAATGCGCATACGTAGGGCCATGTTGTTGTTTTACGTCTACTTGTTTCCAGTCATTACGCGTTTTAATAAATGTTAATTGTCTCTGTTGGCCGCTATGCTTCTTTGAATGTTTATGTATTCTATACACTTTTCTCACTCATTATTGTCTGAGGGGTCCACAATTTATAAGCTCTGTTTTTCAGTTGACCTCTCCAAAATGGAATTTCAATATTAAAGTCATAATTTCCCACTTTTTTCCATACGGAGGTACTCGAATGCTATTATAATGTGTTCCGTGACAGATCGGCATGAAAATGTACCGGTAATAAACTGATCCACGTGCTACAATTTTTTCGTCCTAGAACAACCCTCCGTGAACTGCCAAGAAACGTGACGTCACAACTGGAACATCGATCGCCGGGTAGCGAACTTTTTTTTCCTACGAACTTTTATACCTGGCGCATGCTCACATACGAACTGTTATACTTGACGCATGCAAGGAGGTCACAAACAATTAGACTTTGATTATTTATTGTTTTGCCTCACTATTTATAAAGGTAAAAAACTAAATAAACCGAGATTTGAACCCTCACGGCAACTCCAAGGTTCTATTAGTAACACACTGTCCGATTGAGCTAACGATGAGTTGATGAAAGAATGCTTTGTATAATTACTATCACCCTATTGACCGCCCTACCGGATTCCACGTGCGCATGCGCTGGTTTCCTTCGCGAGTGCGCATGCGCAGGTTCCCCTCGCGAGCTCAAAGTTCGTAGGAAAAAAAAATTAGCCGCCAGGTACGCTTCGCACAGCTGCACAACCATTATTTAAACGTTTTTAAACATACATATAACCAGGGGTGTCGATTTGTATCCGTGGTTGGGGGGTTGTGGCAGGTTGCACCCCCTCCCTTCCTAGTTCAGAATCTGCCCGGTCCTTTATAATTCCCTACACACTTTCAAGCCGTCGAAGATGGCGTTATCAACAAACTCATAATTATGCTCACCAGCCCAGACTGAGGCCGCCGGGCGTCTTAATTTAATGATCACGCCATATCATCGGCTGGTAGAAAGTAAGTAGGGAGAGGTAGCGTTGGTGTGGTGGAGATCAAAATTAATAGGCCAGATTCTGGACTACTCCCTTCCAAGTTATTAACTTTTTTCAAGTCACCCTCAATAAAGATAACATTTCAGAGAATATAAGAGTGGTAATAGAATGAATAACATGCTAAATGTTAGTCCTGACTCTTGCCTGGAGTGTAGGCCTACCAGACTGATATCATCTATTTTTAAACGAAATTTAGACATTACCAAACAAAAATCTAATTGTGAGGGATATCAACTTGTGAAAATGTTATGTTACCATTGGGAAAATGCATTGATAAACAACCAGGAAAGGTTCATGTAGACAGAAATGTTTTTTTCCTGGTGATAGAAACATACATTTTATGAATATTGATGTCTCCAAACAACATTCATCGTGAAAAACCCATTCCAATATTCTGTGTAAGGAGATCTCAAAAAACAAAGCTCTCTTTAGTAAATGAAAAACGTATTGCTTTTGGTTCTTTAATTGACTCTCTTCCTTCTTTAATTAAACCAACTGAATCCTCTCTGTGGGAAACTCAATTCAAAGAAACAAAATATCACTGATGCAAAATTTGGTTCTCAAAATGACAGAAAATTTCCACTCCTGATCCCATACAAACTGTCTGTTTCTTAAAAACATAATATAAAACTTACGTTCCAACTACCAAACAACAAACTTCCATTATCTCCTTCTTCCCCCAGATATACTTATCATACCAGATACGCTCTAAAATATAAGCATAATATTCCCCTAAGGCCCTGCCCAGAGCACTATTCTTGTTCTTACAAAACCATAACCAGTCTTAGAAGGTGCATTATTATTTGAAGGGTGTTATAAACAAAACTTCAAACTTATAACATTCTAACCTTAAAAAACAACTTAACTACCTTATGCCTGTTACGTTTGAGTTCAATACATATGCCTACATCATTCCATGGCAATTGTTCATGTTTCTTTCAGCTTATTTTTCACTACTTTTCCATCCACTCAACTAATTCCTGATCATGCATTAACCCCATACCTACCATCAACCATGCCTAAGCTTTATAAGGAGGGGATCCCGTAAAGTAATTTTGACATTGTAAGAAATAAAGGTGAGCAATATTTCATTGTAGGTTACTTTAAAGTCATCCCATATGCGGCCACTATTCAGGAAACCCATATGGGATCTATCTGGGCCAGCCCTTATGGGTCCCACATGGGAATGAGTTTGGCGTACACATATGGGTAGAATATGTATATGCCCATATAAGTAACACATGGGGAAAATCTGGGTTAACCCACATGGGATATATCTGGGTACCAGATGGGATTTAGCTGAGCATACCCATTTGGGCCCAGTTTGGTATGGGTCCCATCTGGATCCAATCTGTCCTATATGGTTTAACCCATATGGGTCCCATATGCTTCTTGGGTGCAGATGCCTTTAGGCCCCAGATGGTTTTCCATATGGGGCCCATGTTTCAGAGAACATGGGACCCATGAGGGTCCCACATGGGATCGCTACCTGGGTTATTATCCTCTATGTCTATGGGGGTCAGACCATTTCCATGTGGCCTATCCTGCCGTGGTCTTATATCCTGTTAAAAGTAAAGTTATACTTCGTGCTTTTAGTGCTTCATTGATTCAAATTATGCAAATTTTCTAGGCTTTCACAAAACCTTGTTATCTAAAGGATAACTTTCAATTATTTTGAACAGCCTACTAACTTCTGGTCTCACTACATTTGCATCTAAGTTTTCCCTTCCCACTTGTCTACAATGCAATATTACACGCGAAAGAAGTATGAGGTGTTTATCTCGAATAGAGAATGAAAACTCATAAGTTTCTAAGCCAAAATGCAAGAAAAAAGTGACATCCCATACAAACCTAATCTATTTTGTATCACTCACTGTGAAAGGCTTATCTGAAACATGGGATGTGAGTGAAGTCAAGATTGTCATCGTCATAAAGGAAAGAATATCATAACTTTTTATTTGTCTATGAATTTACATTGGTATGTATTTCTTTCTCATGTATTTAACCACAATTTTACATACCGTACTGGCATGGCTGTGGTTTCATTAAACATTATTTATTCTCGATAGATACCGGTTTATTTAATACAAATTTGTTATACTGTTATAATGTTAACATTTGCATGTACAGTTGGAATACATTTTTTCTTCACTCTTTTAATGAAATGAGTGTGACAATACATAATGATTTATTCTTGATAGAACACATGTGTATCTTTTCAGAACTTCATAATAAAGATTGATCAATAACGTCTATCGAGAAGAAGTTATATTGTCACGATCATTTCATGAAAATTGGTAAGAAATTTGTACTCCGACTTTATGGGCACCAGTGTAGTCAAAACTCAGGCAGGCTATATACGCATAGACAAACTATGTATAGCACGCGAGAATGGTTGAGCCATGTCATTCTTATATCATCATATCATCGTTAATCATGCATGAGACAATCGACATGCAATGCAAACATTCTGTATAATACAATAATGCTTGTTTGCGTATTAATGCACCATCATTTACGGTCGTACAGATTACCGTATATATTTCCGTGTATCATTTTCTATTGCTTCACGCTTGAAACCAATTTCCCAATCCTCCACCGCCGGCTAAAGAATCCAGATTTCGCCTATTGTACTATTCATGATTTCGCAATACACTTATTGAGGGAGACATAACAAAACATCTGTGCCCCGACAGACTCGTTCAATTTCAAGCAATAATTTGAAGAAGTTTGCACAAATGAAATATATTCCACAGTACAACTTATGAGTGACAAACGTTTATGATGGTGCTCTTTGATGTATAGTTTAGACTGAACCCAAAGTTTGTAGTGTTGAACATCCGGATACATGACACCCACCCACCCCCTCCCCTCACCCACACCCCAAAATTGTATTAATTTCGTTCTGAATAACTGGCTGCACTTTAAATGATCCATTCCTTTAGACATGTTAAGCTTGAGTACATCTTTGAAGCAAGTCAGTACAATTTACAGTGTAAATAATACGGGTGTAACTAATTTATTAAAGTGGCGGAGCGATAATTTTCACACGCACACCTAATAATGGTAATAGAAAAATGTAAATCATAAATTGTCCTTCGAACAAGTTTTTGATAATGACATTCGAAAATAGATATGGCCGAAAAATAATGATGAAAATGACGGTAGGAAAAACTTATTGCTATGCCATAACGTCGGTTCAAGCTCTGTTCATGACGACACCTTTGCTTTATGTATGATTTTATGTGACCATGTTACAACATTCATATAGATGACATACATGGAAATAAATAATCATTACATAAAATATTAGTTAATTGTATCTTAATTTCGTCAGTCAATACTAATAGTGGCCGAGAGCAGCCCAAAGGCTTCAGGAGCAGCCAGCAGTCCAAGACCCACCTAGTGACTGCAATCAATGTAGAGCCTGCTTAACGACGACAAGATCTGAGCAAAAACTACGATCATATATAAATACCGCAAAGAGTTTAAATCCAAATTTCATCCTTGTCTTCTTTTGCTATTGCCAGGCCTAAAATTAGCTTTTCTTGTAGAATTTGTATTTTAAAAAAAGTAGCCTTAACAATATTCCTTCTCTAGGTATTCTTGTCTCCCTATATTCTGGTCTGGTTTTTGCGGCACTTGGTCTTCCCTTGACGGTTCTTGTGTATTATTTTAGTAGAACTGTTCACTAGCTGATGAATCAATCGCCCTCGGATTTTTGGTGCATTTCTTTTGTTTATTACCAAGAAAATCAATGCTATATTTCAGCATTACAATAATAAACAATTCGGTAAATGGAGCAAATAAAAAGAAAGAGCTAGTATCATAATACATGACAAGAAATCAGTCATAGAAAGGAATTATCATGATCATTGAATCATAAGGAAATATTTGTTTCGCACTAACGTTAAAGCATTTCCGTGCTCGTGTTATCTGAAATGCTGTTCCTTTAAAATGATTTAAGGGTAAAGAATCCGGTAATTATGCTGCTTAATCGATAAAATGTTAGTATCACACCATAATGCCACTATAAATGCCATTCATTGATCGGATTGGGATTTTTAGAATGTCCCATATGCAATGACCACCTATAGGGGCCTCGTTAATGCATCTGGGGGATCATCAGGTTATGATTCATAGAAATGGCAAACATTTGACATGCTGTTAATCGTGGACAAAGTTCGGGTATTATTGGATACAGGGGTATATCATCGTAATACTTACCAGACTCTGTGTGGACCACTGTCGTCATGAAGGCAATGATGACAATCACGAGCCATGTTCGTTGTGTTATTCGCAAAGCCATTCTCGTTTCCATTATATCTGTGATACATAAAGCGATATTATAACGCAAATTTAAGATTATGTGCACATGTTTAATATAACATCCTGGTATCACACATGCCTTTTGCATCAATGATACATATCCGTTACCACAATGGGAAAAATAACATGATGATATTCATGATTAATTGGTTTTAGTACATTGTACAGTATATAAGCTATGTTGATGGCTTCGATCAAGATAACTTGACGGCTGGTCATATGATCACGCTGTGAAAGAAAGTGTCTGGAAGAGAAGATAATAATAATTTTATTAATTGGAGAGGTTAGGTACTAAAGCCGCCCGTGATATATAATTATAGGGAATCTCCTGATACATATCAGGTGGTGGGGTGCTGAAACTGCCTATCATTATGTACATGTGTTGCGGTTTATATTTAAACAAAAATGTAGCTGTATTGACATAAACTGTTTATCCAGCTTGACTTATTTGATAATTTTCCTTTCACTTTCACTCCTGCTCTACCTGGCCACTTAACAGTTTGGCAAGCCTCTACATAAATCATGTGACTGATTATTCAATTTCATTTGATGAATGACAATATTTTTATAGCACATATAACATAAATCAACGTTCCCATGAGCTGCCATGGAGCTTTAAATATTAATATCATCCTATTACCTCAGATTTAACTCCTGCAAAAGTTATTAATTCACAGTAGGAATAATCCTACCAGGTACCCATTTTTATTACCTGTGTAGAGTGTGGCAAATGTTGAATGTCTTGCCAAAGGGCATTGGTAGAATGGCAAATACTTGAACCCTACATCTTGTGATTTGTAGTGACTTATTCCTAGACCACATCACCTTTCATTATGAACCAACAAGTCACATGATTCACACCCCACTTCATAATGCAATACCACGTGTGACTTCCTTTCTCGGACGGTAAAAACTTGAATGAACCAACTCCACGTTATTACGTGGCAATGTACAAATTATACAGTAGTGAATGATGGCAACGTAATATTATGGCCAAAGTCCATAGACTGATATGTTTTTATTTACAGTAAAATACACAAAAAAATGCATAAAATAAAGTAATGCATTGTACATGTACGTATAGTCATTCAATAACAACTAAAACAAGAATGTGACGTAGTGCATTGAAAATTATATAATGTATTGGTGACAAAATAAAGCAACACATTAAATCGAGTAGAATGGCGAAACCTTAAGTAAAAGGCAGAGCTCCAGGTCAGTGCAACATCAGTGCGCAACCGTGGAAGAAACATAAATCCATGAATAAAATACATTCCTTCATCAGATTTTAAAGAAGATATGATCAAGACTCAAAGAACGTCAGTGTTTCGGAAAGAGAGATTACAATGAAAGGACTGTGGACCACATGGTTTGTGGTTCGATACCCGCCGAGGCACTACTGTCCTTTGGCAAGAATTAATCTGTAGATGCCATTCTCCACACAGATGATGTAAATGGGAACCCAGCTGGGAAAAAAAATTATCGAATGGCAGAGCGCCTTATTGGGGCCACTCAGGTGATACCGGAGGTACTAATAGTATAGTGCTTAAATACATTAGTATCGTAATCATGACTGCTTTGAGAGACATAGTTGTTTTTATGCGCTCAAGGGCAACGGTGTCGATTTGTATCCGTGGCTGGGGGGATGATAGGTGCCAAAATATTGTAGGCAATGGATCAAAGCAACCAAGAGGTAGAAGCGTGTGGCAGATTGCACCCCCTCCCTTCCAAGATATTAACTTTTTCAAGTCAAGGGCTTGTTACTTGGGTTATTATCCTCTCAAGCGCGTAGCAAGAATTTTTTATTTGAGGCGGGCGGTAGTGAGCACGCAAAGCGGCAAAACGCGCTCCCTAGGGGGGGGGGGGGGGGGTGCAGGGAGGGGAGTTTCCCCCGTGCCGCGCGAAGCGCGGAAGCTTTGATGTTTCATTATATTATTAGAGAAAGAAGACAATTCGTTGTACATTTCTCGACTCTTTATCCTTGTCTAAATTCAGTTCCCCCACCCTTCCCGCGCGAAGCGCGGAAGCTTTGACAATTCATTAAATTATTAGAGAAAGACCGTGGTACCGTTCTCGACTCTTAATCCTTGTCTAAATTCAGTTTCTTTTGACGTTTCATTACATTATTAGAGAAAGAAGACAATTCGTTATGCCGTTCTCGACTCTTAATCCTTTTTCTTCCTACGTCCTCTTCCTTTCTTCTTTCTCTCGCTCTCTCTTTTTTTTGGCCGTGGTTTTTTGTTTTGTTTTGTTTTGTTTTGTTTTGTTTCGTTTTTTTTGTTTTGTTTGTTTGTTTTGTTTTTCTTTTTTTTTGGGGGGGGGGGGGGGGCGACCGCCCCAACCATCCCTTGGCTACGCGCCTGTTTAATCCTCTCTCTCACTCTCTACCTCTTTTTTTTTTTGCACATTTGCGCTTCGCGCTTAACATTTTAGCTCGTTGCTTTTTAACGCTGTGGCTTTGCATTTGGCGCACTGCATTTCTATGATGCTGTTAATTGAATAAATTTAATAATTTATCAATTCCTGATGAAGCCGTATGAGCGAGAATTCAATTTATTCTTGTCTCATATACGGTTGTCTCATTTACGTATGTATTATTAAAATGAGATAGCGAAATGTGTATATTGATGGTCATCTTGCTAGTAATAACCATTAACTAGTCTCATCGGGCTCTCATTATTATTTTTTTCTCTTCAGTTTTTTTTGTTTGATGGTGAATTATTGGGGGGGGGGGGGATATACCCCCATATCCCCCCCCCCCCCCCCCCCGGGATCGACACCCATGCTCAAGGGTAGGTTGCATTATTGTTGTCATTTTGTTTGATCAATATTATCTTTACTATCATTATCACTATGAAAGCTAAAATGGTCAGGCCTATATCTCTTACTTTATGGAGAAAGGCATATAAAACAAATTAAGTGTACTTGTGTTTTCTTCCTATACGGACATTATTTAAACAAATATATTTTAAAAAATATGGTTAAATGACGAATATGTAAACATGACATTACGTGTTACATTTCATGATGAGCAAGTAATTGTTATTTCGATATGATATGATACCGCATATACCCACATTATAAGGTTAACAACGGATTATGCGGTTATCAAGCATTTCCTTTTGGGTTTCGAACATCCTCATTATTATCAGTAAAACAACAATTTAGAGAAACAGACTGGTGAAAATCAATTGAGAGAAAATGGCCACTATGTAAAGAAGTCATGTGAAATGTGAATGTCTGAAAACTAAAATCAATGCATCGACTATATAATTATGCGAATCTAAAATTCATTGATGTCAAAGTGTTCATTCCTCTCTCTCCCTCTCTCTCTCTCTCTCTCTTTTTTTTCCTCTTTCTATCTCTATCACCCATATCTCTCCTACCCTCTTGATCTCATATCTCTCCTTTTCTCAATTTTATTTTGTGTGTGTTATTTGTTGCTATTTGCGATCAGGATGGTGAAAATGTCACCCACTCAACCCAAAGCACACTGTTGGATTTAGGGGGCACAACTACCCTCCCCCCTTGCAACAACTAACAACTCAAGTGGCATTAGAATCACATTAAGTGTTCAACCCTTAAATGTTTTGTGTTTTGGAGTAAAATGGCTTAATGAATCGTTCCGAATGAATTGAACAATGCGAACTAAGTTCATTCATTCCAGGACACGTCAAATGCGCCGTCAATGAATGATACTACAGTCAAAGGGAGAGGAACAACCATATTTTCAAATGTCTCCAAAATGAGTGTGTGTGTGAGAGAGAGAGAGAGAGAGCAAGAGAAAGAGAGACAGAGAGAGGGAGAGAGAGAGAGAGAAAGAGAGAGAGAGAGAAAGAGAGAGAGAGAAAGAGAGATCCCATGTTACAACCGCATGTATTCAATTGGTAAGTCAATATCGAACACAGACAATTTTTGTGGGCTTCACAGTTCACAGTTCACAGAGCAGACTCATTCTCATGCATGCAAATATATAAATGGCCAAATACCACGAAGCAAAGCACTGGTGTTCGCCACTAGTAGTATACAAATGTGACACAATCTCAGTGGCGGATCCCGGGTGGGGGCACGGGGGCCCGGGCCCGACCCCTGACAAAAAAAAGCTTTTTTGTAAAAGATGGTAACCTCAATTTTACCCTCTTTTTGTTGTTGCTCAAGGAGGGTTTTAAAAAATGTTCACTTTGATTTAAAAAAAATAGTGCTTATTAATATTACCCCCCCCCCCGCCGCTTATTCGCCTGCTGATTCGCCGCAATTTGGCCGCCATCCTCGCCGCCGGCTGGATCCGCCCCTGCGTAATCTGATATACATGGTGACGCGAGGGGCGGGGCGCTTCAGTTGGTGCCAGTTCGCGCCAAATATTATGTGATTGGCGCGTAGTGGCTCGCTGTGGCGCCGAATTAATGTCCGCTCGGCATGTGTCGCCAAGTGGAATAAACTGGGTGCCATATGGCGTGCGCCAAATGCCACCCGGCTTGCTCCAAAATGTTGCGCCAGTTTGCGCCAGTTCGCGCCATTACACGGCCATTTGATTCCAAAATTCACCCTGTTGGCGCCATTCGCGCCAATAGACGGCTACTTTGCGCCACTTGGTGATTAGTTTGTGCCAAAGGTCGCCAAATTGGTTTGAACTTGCCGCCGCTTGGCGCTACTTGCCGACTATATAAATACCGGCCATCGGCTACCTGGTTCAGACCCTCCTCAGCTGCTGTATGAACAACATCTCTACTAAATATTTACAATTTTGATATGTTTGAGGCTTTTGATAATGTTGGAGTGATGATGCTGCTCCATCAGAAGATGATGAGAGATGCTGAGGTGGCCACTGCCTATCAACTTATGCTAGCCAATCCTGAAGAAGAAGAGCCTCCTAAGAAGAAAAGGAAGCACAACTGGTGGTTTAGACCCATGCTCCACCCACAGTTGAGGGCCGAACGTGAACAGTACCACACTTTGATGGAATAGTTGAGGGAGAATGAC